CTAATAAAACTTCAGTGAATAGAGTCTCTAATAGATTCCCTGGCTGATAACATTTCACATGACACTGTCCCAATTCAGTCCTGGAGACATTAGGCACCTCCTGAGAGATTTTACTATGATGGGGCTCTTTGAAGCCTGTGCCCAGTTTCCTTTGCACTTTGCACAATGCACCTCTTCCCTTTTGATTTTACTTCCTATCTTTTTACTGCAATAAATTTTACCCAGGATTATGATATATGCTGAATTCTCTGAGTCCTCCAAGAAAATCACTGAACCCAGAGGTAGTGACAGGGACACCTGACACAGACCACTGTGAAGTCCACACAGTAGCAGCTGTGCCATGGATCCATCTGTATTTCTTAGGAGTTCATAATATACTCTTAAACAGAGCAGGCATTCAGTGATCAAGTGATTTTATATACTACCTTCTTAATATATCCAAGTCAGCCTAAAGATGTGTTGCACTTCTACTTCTCTGGCAGTTAATATTGGTGAACCAGTTAAATGACAAAATATGTGACAAAAGTGGTGTACTTCGAACAACAAATGAAAAGGTTTTGGCAAGCCGAAGTATCACAACTGTACAGAGACTGATTTCATTAACCATTATAGTTTGTAGTCATTCAACCTTCTTGAATGCTGTGAATGTTCTCTATGTATAAACTTCCTAAAACAGGTAACGATTATTGTTAATTTGATTTTTTTTGTCTATTCATGTATCTTTAGAATCAAGCCAAAAGTAACATCTTCAATAATGTGCGTATGACAGAAGAAAGAAGACAGTTTATCCAGCTTCTGCATTATTTGCTTACTCCTCTGTGGTATTTCAAAAACAAAAACTATCCGTGTTTCTTTGTACTTTATATAATTCCTTCAGAACTACATCCTCCTTATTGGCCAAAAGATGAGGACAGCAACGAAGACACAAAAGAAGTAGTAAGGTAAAAAGGAAGTCCAAGGGATGAAGAGAGCCCAACAAAAGGAAACCCAAGTTAAATAAAGTTCCCCCTACCTGATTAGAAAGTAGGTATTGATTTTGATCTGTCATGACAAAAAGAAAGCTGTTTAATATTTTAAAATTAACCATCGTTATGCAACATAAAAGGCCTTATTCAAATGTTGACTATGCACTTCAAATGAGGAGTTTTTACAAAATATAGCAATACAGTGACTCATCCTCTTAATTTCCAGAGGGAAAATCTTTAGTGTAAGAATGTATAATTTACCAGCAAATGTGACCAAAATGTATTTAAAAATATTATTAATGGAGTAAACATAAATCATTAAATTGCTACAGCAGAACAGCTTTACAAGAATCACAAATCACAAAGAAAGCAATCTCCAAATCTGTCACACTATCTCCCTAAAACACAACTCGGAAACTTCCACAGACAAGAGAAACACAAGGATTCTGTCATCACAGCACAGAGGATTCACTCTGTGGCTTTTGGGATCAAGTAGAGGTTATGGGAGTTTCCTGTCGGTTCCAGTCATTCTTAATGTGCTCCATGTCCTGAGGTCTACCTCTATATTTCAGTCATATTCTAGTGGCTCTACTCCTTGTCAGTAACATCATTGGCAGAAGAGAACTACTACAGTTTGATTTAATTCAGTAACTTTTCTTTTTGATATCAGCAGTGTATAATCTTGTCAAAATTTTCACAACAGTAAAATCAAGATTTCTATGTTGTATTTAACTTCTACATCAAGCCACCTTTATTAATTAACTCAAAATAAAGGTCCAAAAGAAAAATACTAGTTTTTTCTTTTAAAACAAACTTTTATGTCTCCTAAATTCTTAAAACTACATTTTATAAACACAAAGATTCTCCAATTCATTCCAAACACTGCTTGATGCTCCAGAGATTTTATTATCCAGTAACAGTTTCCATTATACTGAAATAGCTGGTACCATAACTATGCATGAACTTAAAAAAAGTTACAATAACATAATTTCAGGTCTTAAAAGTAAAAAAGTACATACATCCTAAATGTTATGTTCTGGTTAAGATAAATTTTAATTGTGCTTAAACATCAGGTATGATGTATAACTCAGACTAAATCAGTGCATAGTAAAAGCCAATAGTGTACAGATAATTAAAGTATTATGGAAGCTGGTTAAAATTTTATAATGAAGACAGAACTAGTAAAAATATAGCAACCTGGCTGAAATTGATATTCATTAGGGTACTCTTCACATCAATAGGGAGCATTTGGACTCTGTGGTCTTTATCAGTGTCCCAGCTGGTAATGGTTGAAGGTTAATGCCTTACCCCATTCTGTTCAATTTTCTATCCTAATTAGCCCTCCAAATCTATAGCTGTGAGCACCAAGTGTCTGTCCTCAAAAGAAACTAATTAATGCCAGCAAATTAGATCAAGTCCAAAGATCCAACAGCCAAATTCTTAGTTAAATGCTCCTTGTTAATAGGAACTGTAGCTGTCAATAACTGCTGTTGGTGACTATAATGAGGCATCTTTCTTTCATTGAAAGTGATTTTATTTTTCTTTGTCCCTGGAAAAGCTGTTCCATTCCCTTCACAAGCCTAAGTTGCTGGCAGTCTGACCCAATTCTTATGATCAGCTGAGTTGAAATGGCATGGAAAAAAAAAAAAAAACAAAATGGAAAAGCTTTCCTATATAACCATGTTTCAGCATTTAGCAGAAAGTCAGATAACTTATTAAAATGCCTGTATCTTTATCTAAGAAACGTATGATTAACACACATAATGCTTTATGTAAAATCTTATTATTATTTAATAAAGCAAAGGTATAAACAATAGGTGCACTACAATGGAAGGGTCCTGATTCTAAATTACACTTTACTGTCAACTAAAATGCAGATTTTTTTTCCCCCTGTGGTAGTTATGTGCACTCTTTCCAAATTCACATAGTTAAGCAGGGAGAATATTAAGGACTTATTATTCTTTTATAAAATGATCAATTTTACATTCTAAAACAGAGGCCATATGGCCTAAAAAATCAATATGATTATCAATGAGAAACTGAAATATTCAAAAATCAATTATATTACACAGTGCTTTCCAATAAGGACAAATGCATTAAAATAATCTAAACAAAACTCAAATTTTAAAATGCTTTCAGACTTCAGAAGTACATCAAAATCTTCATCATGTTAACATGCTAAACAACCTAGAGTTTTATAAAGAACAGAACACTAAAACTTCTGTACCACTATCAAATAGTGGCTGTGTAACAAAAACCAACATGTTAAAGTTACAATCTATTCTTTGTTTCAAATACAAAGTTTCAATGTCTAACAATATGGAAAGCCAATTCTGAAACTCATAGCCATACATTCTATATTTTAACTTAAATCACATCTGTAAAAATTAAGTATACAATTGAATTAGCTAGCTTGCTTTCATTCTAGGTATCAGGACAACATGTTATAAAACTGAATATAATTTATAACAGTAGACTAATATATTACCATTAATATCAAATAAACTTTTCTAGTAATGAGAAGTTAACCCTGTAACTTTATTATCCATTGTTAAATTTTTATCCTCCCTTATCTGAATCAGGGAATATATTTTTAAAGTTCTACAAGGCAGGTGGAAGATTACTTTTTGAGACAATCAGCATAACACTGGCCAAAGCCAGCTGTGCACTGAACTGTCTCTAGGTGCCAACAAGTTCATTCTTCCCAACACTTGGGGTTGGGAGATGGGAACTATGAGGGAAAATACTGAGTAAAACATTCATAGAAAAAGCAAGAATAATGCCACAAAATGATTACTTATTTTAGATGACTAACTTAGAGATGAATTTAAAAATGGAGTGAGTTGTAACAAGTTATTTAACCTAAGAAATGAAAAAGATCATCACACACTGTTGAGTGTAAGGCTCTATTCTTATTTGATTGTCTCCAACCACCAACTGCAAAGGTCACCTCTGAAGGTTGAAGGCTGAGAAGGAGACAAACGTTTCTAGCACCCAAACATTGACACAGTCTTGAAGCTAGAAGTTGACACAGTCTGCTTTTCCCATATAGAAGCCTGTAGCGGAGCTACAGCCTACTAGCCTCACTAGAAATTGTCGTGGTCCTTCAACAATAATGATTACAAGGCAAGTGAGGAAGGGGAGCTAGGAGAATATGTCAGTAAACTTTTACTACCTCGTTTTGATAGCCAGTTATAAAGACAAAATCTTCTAAAAAGCTATTTGTACAATAATATTCTCACCAGCTTTTCTAATGATCCATCATTTTTTTTTTTTTTGGCCTCATTTTTTTTTCATGTTTTTCATGTTTTTCATGTTTTTCATGTTTTCATGTTTTTCATGTTTTTGTGTTTTTCATGGCCTCCATTTTTACCTATCACTTTATTTACATTTTCAATATATATTTTTCAATGTTTCTAAGTTTATAGGATATAGGAATATTTAATATTAAAAATATTTTCCAAAAAACATGCATATGAAGATAACTAATGCATGCATTTTACAAAAATATCTCCGATTTAGAAACACAAAACAAAACATGCACGCAAAAATCAGACTTATTGTAAGTCATACTAGGATTCATTAACAATTCAGTAATAGACAATGACACTAAAGAAAATCACCTTAAGTGTGTGTGTACATATATATATACATATGAATATGCTGATGGATGAAAAAACAGGTACTAGATATTACATACTAGCTATGACATTTGGAATTTTGTCCTTACCCTATCAAAAATCACCAGAGTAACTTATTTTTCCAGAATACTCACACCAAGTTTTTCTCTATATATAAACTATATTTCTGGGGAAGAATCAGGTTTTTATTAGTAATTTAGGGAAATATGTTTAAATTGTAAATGAACTGAATGCCTGGAAGCTCCGCAAGCTGAAATATTGGTATCACAGCGAAAGGGTGAGAAGCAATTCATACATATTAATTCATGGACTACTTAACTCTGAAGCTAAGGATTACATTCAGATCAAATTATTAAAAATGAACTTAATCTTTACAGGAATATTTGAATCTTACCTTGAACTTGTTCAGAACACCTCTCTTTGGCCTTTTCTCTCATTATTTTAGGGATCAAAACATCTTTTTCAACATGTCTCAGATGTTGATCTGAAAAAAAAGTTCTTTATTATAGTAAAGTCTCAAGTAAATCACAGGATTAGGGAAAAAATAAGTGCTCTAGCTATTTAAAGCAAAAACTGATGCGTCATTTTTTAAACTTTTACCATGTGATAAAACTGTTATTAATTTAGTCACTAAAAATCATTCTAATACTGTTTGATATACAACAACAAACTGTGAGGAACACAGGTGACATCTTTCTAAAAGTTTCTGCAAACCATACTGCAACACTTACCTGATAACAAGTCCCATAGACTGATCCCATGTAGATCCCATGTAATCTACAAGTCCCATGTAAACTGATCAAAATTAAAGTCTAAATCATCAACATTATCATATTAATATATCCACAGAAATATCTTATTAATTTTGAAATCCTAGGATAGATGAAAAAATACAAGATTTAAAAAAGAAACAGTTTTTCTACATAGTAGTATAAATAGCCTAAGAAAGAAAAATCAGAAAATAAAGTAAAACAATAGGTCCAATACAATACAATACAAAGCATGTGACATTTCTGTGGATTGTAGATATAATTTCTACCATTTGTCTAAAATGGCAAACTGAAATGAATGCTACCGCACTTCACCTGCTTTTTAAATTCTGGGAAAGCTCTAAAAACCAAAGGGGTAAGAGTCCCAGTGAATATAAAGTAACAAGGAATTTCTGAAAGACAAAAGACAGGTGAAATCAGATTAACGGAAATAATGGTAATTTCATAGAGAACACAGGAAAAACTGACACTAAAAGTGAGTGTTGTCCTATACTTTGAAGCAGTAAATAGAATGGCAAGAATTTTGAGGAAATCCAAGTTACTGGTTGAAATAATTCAGTACCTGCACCAAATGGTCACTCCTCTGCTATCCCTAGATCAAGGATGAAAGACAAAAGTATTTATCTCCTAAACTTCAGGAAGTGTCACAGTATTTAGTAATACTGAGGAAACTTAAGAACCTAGACTTTAAACTCATTTATGTATTTAATACAAAGTACGTTATTCTCTACAAATTCTGAGGGCAGGCAGCTATGAACTGAGATATATATATTTTTACACAGATCACAACCGGGGCACCTCAAAATTCAAACAAAACAATGAAACATCCAAGAACCGCCTTGATTTTATGAAGGACAATAAAATAGAAATAACAAATCATAAATAAAAAAGTAACTATCCCCCAGCATGGTTAAAAGAGTTAAAGAAAATAAGACTTCAGAAAAAGTATAATAAACATACTGAGGCAAATAAAGAGTTCACAGACAGAAACAACACATGGATTATCTAAATGTACTTGAAAATTTGCACAGGCAAAACTTGAACACAAGAAAAAATAACTTCCAAGTTCTGAAAAAGAATTTCTTTGCATCTAAGACTACTAGGGTCACTGAAACCAGTCATTAAGAGAAGGCTTAAAAACATTTCAGATACATGGAAAACAAAACTATTTCTTCCTTCAAACTCAACAGAAAAAAAAATTTCCTTATTACTACTATAGCATATATAAAAAAACATTTTTATATTATTTTATTTTTACTGTATACAGTACATGTAGAACAATAAACATCTTCTTATGTTTAGTAATCTATAGATTAGAAAGACCTCATCTGGGGACACTCAAAAGACTGATGTGGTCTTCAACATCTGAAAAATCTGGGACTGCAGAATGTACTTCTAAAGTTCTTTCTTCTTTATGCACTGATTTCCTATGTAGGCTGGAATGGGCCACAGTCAGTCAGGACTATAAATCAGATCACCACACATCATCCCTTCTTACAGTTTGGCAGTGAGTCATAAGAAAGTACAATTAGAGAAAGAATCGCTGGAGATCAACCAGGTGAAAGTTATATGCTTTTTGTGACCTTGTCATAGAAGCCACAAACATCATGCTACATTTTATGATTTCAAATCATTAACAGCCCATATCCAAGTTAGGGTGGGAGCTGAGGAGTGGTAAGACGCCATTGCTTATGTTAAGCCCCATTTCAAAAAAAGTATAAGGCGTGGAGGAAATGTTATAATCTTTCAAAACAAAATATATCACAGAATTAATAGAGAACACACTCTGAAAAAATAAATATGAATCTCTAATGCACAAATGTAAAACAAAAATACACATTTAAGTTTACATTTTAAGACTGTAAAGTACTTGAGCAATATTATCAACCTTTTTGACATTTAGAGAATATTCCACTCAAAAACAAAAGAAAATTTACCAAAATAAAACATATTTTGACAGTGAAAAAATTCTTAGTATATGTGAAAAAATTCAAGCCATACAAAGGTACGTTTGCTGAAACTAATGTAACTAAATAAGAAATCAATAATAGATGGCTGGGTAATCTCCAAATATCTGTAAGCCAAAGAACACATTTTAAAATGCTCTGGGGATTTAAGATATCAAAGAAATCAGAAAATATTTCAGAATGAATAAAAATGAAAATGCAACCTATCAAAATTTTGTGTGATGTACTATTACAGTACTTACAAGGAAATCTGTAACACCAAAAATTAAGAGGAAAAAAAGAGACAGTTCTTAAATCATCTTAAGCTTCTTCTACCTTAAGAAACCAAAAAAAAAGAAGAGGGGGGGAGGAGAAAGGCAATAAGAGACCAAAGCAAAAATCAAAGCATTAAAAAAACAAAGCAAACAAAAATGACATAAGTAAAATGAGTAAAAGTAAAACAAGTTTTCTGAGAACATTGAAATTAATAAACCACGAGCCAGACTGATGAGAAAACAAAGATGGGTCACAAATTTCAAACATGAGAAATGATAAACATTTTTAAAATTTTGAAGACCAAGACTTTGATAAACCATATGTGCACATTTTACACTAAGATTATAACCAAATTCAGTAGGGTATCTAAAAATAGTCAGTACTCAAAAATCAGTAGCACTCCTATATATAAGCAACAAATTCACTAGACAAATATTTGGGAAACCATATTCTTCAAAATAACATCCTCAAAAATGAAATACTTAGGAATCAATCTAACACAAGAAGTAAAACGATCTATACATTGAAAATTTAAAAACTTGGGGCTGGGAATTTAGCTCAGCAGTGTAAGTGCCTGCCTTGCAAGCAGGCAGTCGTGAAGTATGATCCCAGGTACAGATTAAAAAAAAAAAGACAAAAAAAGAAAGGAAAAAGAAAATTAAAAAACTCTGAAAAAAAGAAATTGAAGAGGATCTTAGAAAATGGAAAGGTATTCCTTGCTCATGGATAGGAAGAATCAACATTATAAAAATGGCCATACTCCCAAAACTGTTATGCAGATTTAATACAATACAAATCAAAATGCCATTAGCACAGACCTAGAGAACATATTCCTAAAATTCATCTGGAACCAGAAGAAACCTAAAATAGCAAAGGCAGTCTTACGCAACAAAAGGAAGGCAGGAGGCACTGCAATCCCTGACTTGAAATTATACCACAAAGCCTCTGTGATAAAATCAGCGAAATAGTGAAAAAAAACAAAAAACAAGACAAAGCATGCCTTAAAAAAAAAAAAAAAAACACAAGACAGAGCATGCCTTCCTGTGAGTTGGGCTCTGATATGTAGATAGGAGACTACTACTCAGCAAAAAGATAAAACATGTCCTCCCAAGAATCAGCTGGTGTACAGGCTGGGAAACCAGAAGAGCACCCCTACCACTACTCCCCCACCCCTGGTAAGCAACTGGCTCACTGGGAGGACTCAGGGTGAGATGACAGCAACTGAGGTGACAGGAATAGCTTGATACTTATATAGTTTGATTCACTTTGCGGGCCTGGTCGTCCAGGCATCTAATTGGAGGATGGTAACACACATGGTAGCAACTGTGGGGGACTTCCTTCAGCCTCCTTTTTGAAATCTAGTGTTGTTTCATTTTACTGTTTTCTTCTATTCCTGTTTCTGGTAACCTGAGAAAATATTTTGAAGATAACAGTATGCAGTATAACAACCATTGCCAAATTACTACCATCTTGTTTTGAAAATTTATATAGATATTGTTTTTTGTTGTTGTTGCTGTCATTTTGTTTTTATTGTTTTTTAAGTTTGCATCTTAATTTTTCTGTTTTTTCTTTCTTCTCTTTAAAATAAAAAAATGTACAATAGATATTGTGAATTGGGAAGAAATTGTTCAAAAAAAAGACAAACTGTGATGCGGAAAGGAAGAATGGATAAAAGGAAAAGATATATGTATATGCAAGATAGTTAAGGTAGTTACACAGCTCACTTCTGTTTGTTCTTTGAAAAGAATGTTTCGCGCTGATATTGTTTAGCTAAGACATCATGGCAATGTCCTGTTCTCTGAATACCTACTACAAGACACCAAAATGCAAACTATCAAGTATTATAACTGTCCCACTACCCTGTTTCAAAACTCATTTTCATTGTTTATCTGTTTTTCTCTTTAAAATTAAAAAAAAAACAAAAACAAAAACAAAAAAACACAGACCAGAGTTATCAGTGGAACAGAATAGAAGATGAACACACAACTCCAAACATACTCAGCCAACCTTATCTTTGACAAATGGCCCAACATGTTCACTGGAAGAAAGCCAGCCTCTTTAATAAGTGGTCCTGGAAAAACTGGCTCTCTACATGCTAAAGACTAAAACTAGATCCACATCTGTCATCATACACTAAACTGAGGTCAAAATGGATCAAAGATCATTGGAATTAAAAGAGAAACACTACATCTACTGGGAGAGAAAGTAAGTTGAAATCTTGAAGACAAAAGGGTAAGCAGAGTTCATGAACAAAATCCAAATTACACAGGAAGTACTTCAAACAACCAACAACTAGGATCTCATCTTTTTATTAAAAAGTTTTTGCATATCAAAAGAAATTACCAAGAGTGAAAAGGAAAACCATAGAGTGGGAAAACATTTTAGCCAGCTGTCCCTCAGAAAAAGGACTTATATCTAGACCACATAAAGAATTGAAAAAAAATCAGGCTCCCCAAATTCAAAGACCCAATCCAAAAATGGGCATCTGAGAT